AAGAAGGGCCGTAAATCTTCAACTAAACCCTGTTCTAATTACTAAGGCCCAGAAACCCTCAACCCTTCTAGTAGCCCTTATAGAACTCTTGAGGGAACCCTATATTAAGCACCCGACGCCCAGCCTGATCAACCCGAAGATCACCTCCTTTCCAACAGTGCGGTCCATTCCGGCCAGGTGGCTCGGCCCGAAAGCTGCTGTCGGGGTTTAGGGTTTAGGGCTTAGGGGTTTTGGGTTTAGAGTTTAGGGCTTAGGGGTTTAGGGTATAGGGTTTAGGGCTGAGGGCTTTAGGGTTTAGGGTTTAGGGCTTGTTTGGGTTTCAATTTAAAGTTTTGGGGGTTAGGGTCTAAAGGCTTCAGGGATTTTTATGGGGGTTTTAGCACTTGGGGCTTGAGGGTTTTCGAGGATTGTTTTTAGGATTTAGGGTTCAGGGTGTTCAAGCTGTACGAGTATTCCTCCCGGGCTGACACTTGTGGCCACTCCTGTGAATGATATACAGCGGCAGCCAGCAACTTGAACCACTGCTACTGGCTCTCCCCAGCAGCTTTGGTCTGTGCCAAACCCTAAACCTCAAACCCTGAAGCGCTTTAGGCGTGGGCTTCGGGCGGTGTAGGCTTTGGGGGTTAAGGTTTTCGGCCCTTAAACAGAAGAGCCCTAAAACCCGAACAAGTGTTGTTGTTGTTGTTGTTGTCCTTGTTGTTGTTGATGCTGTTGTTGTTGGGTTTACCCTAAACCCTAAACCCTTTGGGTTTCGGGTTTGGGGTTTGCATCTCGCCCATACGAGAGCCCCGCTGTAGCTCCAACTGTGGAGTCGTCGGGGCAGACTCCGCAGTTCTTGGGATACCTTCGCAGGGTTTCGGGTTTAGGGTTTAGGGTCTAGGGCTGAGTTAGGGTTTTGGATACCTTCGCAGTGCTAGGCTTACGGTTAAGGCTTTAGGGTTTAGGGCTTAGTTAGGGTTTAGGATACCTTCGCAGTCAGACGCTTGTGCTAGTTTCGGAGAGCTAAGCTAACACTCTTACCTTCATCAGGGCTTGCAGCTCAAGTTGTTTAGGGTTTTGGCTTTAATGCTTGCCTGCAGGGTCATACCCTACCCATTTTTTTAGGGGTGCCTACTTTTCTACACAGTCGATTCTAACCATGGAACTGAGTACCTTAAGAAGGGGTAGGGTATGAACTCCCGAAAAAGTTGGAAACCGGGCTAGGGACAATACGTGCTGGGATTCCCTATACGACTCTTAAGGGTTGAGGCTATTGGGTTTCCAAACGTTTGGGCTTCTACCTTCTACCCTAAACCCTCAACCTTATACCCTAAACCCAAAACCCTATACCCTAAACCCTAAACCCTTAAGGTTGTAAACCCTAAACCGTTGCCAGGGCTCGGAGCAAGGAGCCTGGAGGATGTAGGGCACGAGGGTTTAGGGTTTAAGGGTAAAGGGTGGGTGTAGGGTTTAGGGTTTAGGGTTTAGGGGTTTAGGGTTTAGGGTTTAGGGTAGGGTTTATTGTTTAGGGTTGAGGGTTTAGGCTGCGAGGGCTACATGTAACCGAGTCATGGCCCTGCTATGGGGGCCTTGAGAGTTCGAATGGGGCTTTGGGGCACATTATGATGACATAGGCATGTTAAGGGTACAAGCGCCTTGAGAGTTTCAATAAGGCTTTGGGGCACATTCTATATGGCATCTAGGCATATTGAGGGTATACGGGCCTTGATAGTTACAACAGGTTTTTTTTTTGGGGGGGGGGGGGCATATTCTACCCTAACCCTAAACCCTAAACCCTAAACCCTACTACTATAGCTGTATTCAATTTCCCTAGAGAATGGTATTGGTAATCTCACTGTTGGCCTCACCCCTGGGCGCGTATCACTGAATGTCATTCGACAGTGGCAGGAGGAAGACGATGTGAAGAGGCCGGATAGAAAGAAAGAGAGACAAAGGGAGAGAGACAGAGAGAGAGAGAGAGAAAGAAGATCACTGGACAGCTTTCAAGACATGAACCGTGCACTTGAAAGCCCTTGCTGCCTCGACAGCAAGCAGCCACTAAGCTCTGAAGCACACAACTGCACATGCCACATGCAAATCCTCGCCCCGCAGCCTTCGGGTTTAGGGCTTCTAAGAACCCTAAACCCCTAAATCCTAAACCCTAAAAATCTCTAAACCCAAAAAAACCTAAATCCTAAAAGCTTGATGCCACGCCACTTGTCCCGCGAGAAGCCGCCGGGGCACTCCCCGCAGAGAAAGCCCCGAGAACCTGCTGAGTGTATGAGGATTCAGGGATCTATTCAGGGGTTTGGGTTTTGGGTTTTGGGTTTAGGTGTTTGGGTTCAGGGTTCGGGGTTCAGGGATCTGTTCAAGGGTTTGGCTTTGGGGTTTGGGTTTAGGATTTAGGGTTTAGGGTCCTGGGTTTAGGGATCTATTCAGGGGTTTGGGTTTGGGGTTTAGGGTTCAGGGGGTTTCGGGTTTGCGGGCTTGGGGCGTTGGGGTTTTGGGGCTGCGGGCGATCCAATAGCTACCGCGACACGCACCCAAAGCAGAATCCATGGCCCAGAATCCCCGGATTACCAAAGCGATAAGGTAGGGACGTCCCACCCACCCACAAACATATGTTTGGGTGCTTCTCTGGTATTTGGTGCCTGATTCAAGGGCTCGGACTTTCTTGCACAGTAAGGCTTGATGCCCTGAAGGTGCGACGTGCATTGCAAGCCGCAGCCACAGCAGCAACAGCAGGAGTAACAACACTAAACCCTAAACCCTAAACTCGAAACCCTAAAACCCTAAATCCTAAACCCTAGAACCGCAAGCAAGAGGCCCTTCAAGATTTTCAGCTGAAGTGACAGCATCGAGACCTGCCTGTAGTGTCTGGGCTCCCCGTTCTAGAAGAGGCCACAGTCGCATTCCAAAACCGTCCACCAGGCCAACGTAATACTATCTAATTTAAACCTGGAAGCTTTCGAAGTAAGGGATATAGAACCTAAATACAAACACTGTCGTAAGTACCCTGGAGAAAGGAGCACCAGATGGTTGTTTCATTGACCCGTTTATTCGACGTGCTTTCTTCCTACCAGATGGTTGGCACTACGCAGCTCTGTGTGCTCCTGTGGCTCAAGCTGACCTGCCTGTAATGTCATCCTAACCCGAAACACACACACACACACACTCTCAGCTATACAAGCGCATGGCCATATACATACATACAATTCTGAACTGCATGCAAGTGTGTATGTAAGTATGTATAAATATATGTATAAATAATTTTATATATATATATACCTACATACATACCTATCTATATATATATACGAGGGTATCATGAAGTTATAAATATATACATATACATATACGTGTAGTGACACGTATACTACAGGTAATACACCTCAAACTGGAAATCTATGGAAAGGTCCCCGGCTGTCCTGGCGCGCAAAGATTGCCTCGGTCTGTAACACACGGACATCTCGATAAACGCTGGTTGCTTTCGAAGCGTGCAATGCTGAGGGCTTACACTGTTGAGGTTTTATCAGGGTTTACAAGGGTTTGTTGAAGGTTTATGAAGGCATAGACGGGTTTATATGGATTAGAAGGGCTTATTGGGGCTGGGAGGTTAGGAATGTGCATTCAAGCCTGGAAGACTGGTAGCAAGGAGACACTCCTGATATGTCGAGGGGCCGACTGCACATGGGAAAGCCGAGGGTGCTTCAAGATGCATCAGTATGAAGATTTCATCAAGATCTGTCCGGCTCACGACAAGGGGAGAGAGAGAGAGAGAGGGAAAGAGCGAGAGAGAGAGAGAGAGAGAGAAAGACAGAGACAGAGACAGAGACAGAGACAGAGACAGAGACAGAGACAGAGACAGAGAGAGAAGAACAGAAACATAAAGAGAGCAGCCCAAAACAAGGCGGCGCTGCGGCCTTGTCTTTGCGGTCCCGTGCATTGGTTCGGTACTGGGGGATTGTGAACTTGGATATCCTGAAGACATGACCCTGAACTGAAACCTCACAGCTATCGCAACCGTCAGAATTGTGCGCAGTTGGAGGATCATGGGACTTAGTAAGTAAGGTTATAAGTCCCTTAATTGGGGTTATAAGTATAGTTACCCTAATTATAACCCTACTTACTAAGTCCCATGATCCTTCAAGTATGGGGACCAGCTACACCGGAGCTACCAGAATTCAAGCTGCCGGCTGTTACTAACTGCAGTGAAACCCAGCCGAGCAACCGAAAGCATCGCCGTGGCCATCTGTAGCATTGCCGCCCACACACGCCGAGTCGCCATTGTCTTGATTCCTTGGCCCCACTTAACCCCCAACCCTCAAACCCTAAATCCCTAAACCCTTAACCCCAAACCCTCAAACTCTAAACCCTCGCTCGAGATTCACGGCTCAAGTTTAGGCTTACGTTTTGCCATGGGATCTACCGGGTTCAGATGAGTGGGCGTTAGATTGCTTGGAGGTTCATGGGTAGTTATAAATTGGGTTATAAGTAGGGTAACTATAATCATATCCCATTATAGGGGACTTATAACCCTAGTTATAATCACATCCCATTATAGGGGACTTATAACCCTAGTTATAACTACCCATGAACCTCCAAGTGGGGCTGCAAACGGGGTTCGATGCAGGCCCAGCGAAGGCTCCTGGTTTTGGAATCTGGGGCTTGGGGCTTCAGGGGTTTAGGGTTTGGGGTTTGGGGTTTGGGGTTTAGGATTTAGGGTTTAGGATTTGGAGTTTAG